TACTCTGTCGCCTTCTGGTGGTGCTATTATCTATCTCCGCCAAGAGGGTCGTGGGATTGGTCTAGGCGAAAAGCTCAAGGCATACAATCTGCAAGATTTAGGCAACGACACGTACGAAGCAAACATCATGTTACGGCATCCTGCAGATGCGCGAAGCTACGGCTTGGCCACGGCTATGCTCATGGATCTGGGCCTAGACGGAGACAGAGGGATTAGACTTTTGACCAACAACCCAGATAAAGTCCATGCTGTCGAGGGGCCGAATAGAGAAGTCGTCGTGAGGGAGCGCGTCGCCATGGTTCCGCTTGCGTGGAAAACAGGCGGCATGAAGGGCATCAAGAGCGAAGAAGTAGAGAAGTATCTTAGTACCAAGGTGAGCCCACGTCAGATTGCGACACTTCGAGATGCAAAATTTGCTGACAATGACACAGATCGAAAAGTTCAAGCACATGTTAGATCAGAAATAATGGCATTTAGATGGTTGACATCGTATTCCTCAGTTTCCGTCGCATCCGATAATGTGATCTGCTAGACGATCAACGGCGCTGACGTGGGGCGCAGACGACCGCTCGGCCGCTCTGAAACCACTAAAATAATCATAACCTGCTTCACCTCACCGCGCCGCATCTGCGACCTGCGCCCCATCCTTCGCTTATCCTTGATTTTCAGACTCTCTTCGCGTATATAGCGGGTCGTCCATGGTCTTGGTTACGGCCATCATCCCGACAGCATGGCGAGCCCGCGAGACGACGCTGCGGAGAACCCCTTCCTCAGTCCAGCGGATGGACGCAGCATGAGGAGCTTCACCGCCGACTCCAAAAGTAAGGCGACCCCCCTGATTTGTATGCGTGAAATACTCAATTCGGTTAGATAGTTCGAGGAGCATGCTACCACTTTTATACACCCAAGGCCTCCTTGAACCACAACGAAGCGGATATTCAATAACACTACTATTGACGTCATTATACTCGACTTTATGTTCGGCCTTGTTCTTCATCGTCGCTTTGATACAGCCAAAGTATGGACATGTCGTATCAGCACGTGGGCGATTTTCCCCTTCCTCGGCGGCGCTATTGACGGCTTTCATCGCCAAGACTGTCGAGCTATCGTTCGTGATGGTATTCTTGGCGTTCATAGGGCAGGTCCTGTCGCGAAGAGCTATTCAGCAGAAAGGCATCAATTTGGCTAGTGTGTCGATGCGATCCTGGATTCTGTAAGTTGACAGCGTTTCGGGCCAGCGCTCACGTTGGCTGATTTTGGAAAGTCAACCAGGGAAATTATTCAGCGGGTGGCACAGCGTCAGGGTCGCTGGCTTCAGTGTATTGGGAGTACTCTCACTGGTTACTGCCATTCTCTCTCTGCTATATACAACCGCTGCAGGTGCTCTTGGTATGTCAGTACCCTTGGTCTTCTACCACGAGTCGCTAACACATCTCAGTGCAACCACAGCTACGCCTCCCGCCCTGGGAGCATCAAATGCTTGCTGGCCAAGTAGATGGCGACTTCTCCAGTACCTTGAAAGCTGATAAGACTTGTCTCACTGCCTGGCCTGACGTGGGCGACACACAATGGGGCGGTAGCACATGTCTTGCCATGAAGTGGTCTTCGCTATGCGGCCGCAACTTCATCAAATACATGTCAGCATGGGACGATCAAGCAGCTGCAACAAACCCTGCTTGGATGTCTGAGCGCCTTCTGGAACGAAAGCCGATCAGTGCGTCGCTAGACAACAACGTCACTGTCACTACTGCTTGGCTTGATGATCATGATGTCGCAACTGAATCTGAGAAGGCAGGCAGGATAAGTACGTGGCCAAAGATTCTCTAATGTTACTTCGCTAACCTGGGTATAGTCAACAACATCACTATAGCCGTCCCCCACCGAGGGATACCGGCAGCAGCTCGCAATGTCCAGAATGATTTGCTGCAGCCAGAAGTAGGTAGATCATTCATGCCACATTCAACCCATACTAATGATCCTAGGATCTTCATGACGGTGGCTCCTACTCTATCCACGCTTCAGTCGCCAGCTTCGCACTCAACGCACTGTGTGTCAACGCCAAAGAGGAAGAGCTAGCTCCACTCATATATACCAATTGGCCCAATGCGATTCCCATGGAAGAAGGATCGAAGTCGGTCAACTGGTGGCCAATCCTAGGATTTCCAGAAGGCACCAACACAAACAACAAAACAGTGCTCGATGATGTGTTTGGATGGAAGGACGAGACGGAAGATCACTCGCGTGCTAGACCAAGTTAGTCCGGTCCTCTGCATGAACGATTTCTACTAACGTCACACAGTTTTTCTCAAGTACCCGAAAGCAGGAAACACGGTAAGTGGGTTTGTCTCAATCGGAAGACGAAAGACTAATTGGGTAGATCGCAAACCACACTCAAGTACCGTACGAGCTCGGCGACCGACCAGAAGTCTACCTGCTCGGCAAAGCACCCGACAACACCACCGAAGACTACTTCCTCTGCTCCATGAAAGCCGGCATCACAACTTCCTGCACTACACGCTACAACGCCTCATCCGGCGGCCAAAGCCTCGAAGCCGTCTGCGACGACGCAAACGGAAAGCACAGCGACGACAGCGCCATCCAACCCCTCCGTTCTAGCGGGGACAGAGCCGCCCTCGTCGGCTGGCGCGACCTAGGTTTCAACCTCCTCAACTCCCTCAGTCTGAACAACGGAGTCTTCGACGGTGACGCGTCTACAGCCCGTATATTCACCCAACTCCAACTCACACAACCCAAGCTCAACAAGACCTTACCGAGTCCTGCGGAAGCATTACTGAGTATGACAACATGCACCGTCCTAGACCTAACCCAAAACTTCCCCTTCCAACCCTTCTCCAACACCTCCGCCGACGACTTCGACACCCCTCAAATGCAATACTTCAACGCTTCCGTCCGTGTAGCACAGTACATGTCCGGCGGCGAAAAGAGCTACCAAAAAGCGCTCCTCGTTGTCCTCGCCCTCACTCTCCTCATCAATATCTTCATCCTGATCTACTTTGCCGTGCTGCTGCGCATCAAACTCATCACGGATCTCTGCGAGCCGCTTGTGCTGTTTGTACTAGGATACCACTCTCCGCCGTCGGATGGCCTTTTTGCGGGAAGGCCGCAGGAGGGGCCGCAGAAGAGGGATATGAGGGTTGATTGGATTGTTAAGAGGAAGGGGGAGCAGTTGGTTGTTGTGGGGATGGGGGAGAGGGATGGGGACTTGGGGGGAGAGGGGAGGGGGAGAGGCGGTGTTGGGGGGTGGTTTAGGATGAGGAGGAGAGGGGGAGGGAGAGGGGATGGGGATAGGGAGGAGGGGTCGCCGGAGGGGCTTAGGCCGTGACAGACAGGGATGTGAAGATGGCTGCCTTGCCGTTCTTTTTTCAACTGCGTACAATCCATCTATCTTTATCCAGACGGTTTCCTGCTGCTGGCTGTTGGCCTGGTAGTGGCTGGTCCAGGCCGGTCTAGTTCACTCAGGCCCCACTTTTGGCAAGTGTGGCTGAGCGCACGCCACAGACGTACGTCGTGCGCTTCCCCTTCAGGCTGGATTGCCGCCTGAGGATATACTTGCTGTTGTGCCGGCTCTTCCGCTACTCTTTCTTGTTACTTCTCTGCTGTTGACATTTGCACAGTCCTCGGCTTTTCGACACGAATCTGAGAGTGTGGCGGCACAAGTACGGTCTCACCTTGGAGTTACCACGACGATCTCGTATACCAAAGCACAGGTTGAATGATCAGCCCGAACCAAAGCCAAGCCCCAGTCTGAGTCAAAAGCGCCCTCTCTTCACGTACTGTTTCCGCCTGCCGCCTCCGATCAGCCTCGTTGCCGCCTGTCTACAACACATTACAGCGATCAAAGCTACGGTCAAAGCCGTCTTCTCAAGAAGCCGCATTCGATAGCAATATCTTACTTCCCTCTCAGTTTGTGGACGATAGAGCAATACCGCATCAATTCGAAGCGCTGGTCGAAATGTCTCAACCCTCCTCCGCCTACGCTCAGATTAACGGATTCTACGGCCCTGGGACATGGGCAGCATGGGTCATCACTCTAATCGCCTCATGGATACCCATTCTGCAGAACGATCACAAGCACAACCTACATTATATCGGATACGCATTATATACGAACTGGGCTGCGGTCGATCTCATTCGCCAATGGGTACCAGCTTTCCGCCATCACAAAGAGTTTGAAGAAGTAGACCATACTCAGGTGCAGAATCTTCTCGCTCCTTTTGCGGTGATGCAGGCTGGTATCTTCCATGCATTTCTGCAACTCTGGTTGTGCGCGTTCATCGCGAAGCAGAAGGATACGAATACCAAGAAGGAGATCGAACAGCGTCGCGTCTGCATTATGTACGGCCTGATCTTTCCCGGTCTAACGAGCATTTTCGTTTGGCCAACACTCGCCGGCCTTATGGTACAGCATGATGTGGTTGGGTCCTGCATCGTTACGCTCACAGGTTGGCTGATTGTGGGCCCACTTCTTTTTCAGGCTTCGTCTCATATCAGTTGGGGAACTACATTGATCATTTTGTTTATAGTTTACATTCCGGTGTATTCTGCCACTATCATTTGGAGCGTCTTTAAGACTAGTAACGACATAGTAATGAGGACGAGGTGTTCCGTTATTCCGTGTGCGCCGCAGGCGATTGGGGATTGGGATCAAGCGTTTTCTTTGTTCGGTGCTTTGTTCTTGTTCGTGTACGAGTATCAGGATCTTATTATACATCTCGCGAGAAAGGCATTTACAGGTGCTTGCGCAAGCGGGAAGCGATTGGGCAAGTGGCTAAAGTCGTTGCTCGTCTGAAAGGTTGCAATTCTCTCTATGCGTTCGATGATGTTACGGCTTTGCAGATTCATGCACTCGAAATAATCAATCACGAAGCATACATCATGTTACCAGGAAGAAGTAGGTGTTTTCTTTCTAATTGGAGTGTGACTTAGGTGCTACCACCTCGTCGTTGCTACTGACTGCCCAGGTGATCCGCAAACGTGCCTCAAGCGAGCATCCCCATCACCTAGCATGGAATGTAGATAGTACAGTAAGAAGTCGACACGCTCACCGGCCCAGGATCAATGCTACTAGTAACTACACCTTGAGTGTCCGCCCCGTTATAGTTAACCGAGCAAATCTCAAAGTGATTGCTCGCGCTATTGTACGCAGTGTGGAACGTAACATCGCCGAGGGTATGGCAATCTCCTGCAGAGACGGTACTGGTAGCGCCATTGAAGTTTTCCACATCGGCATCGTGGTCGTAGTAGACCATGTCGTTGTTGACGTCGTAGCAGTAGAGTGTTCCGCTAGTTATATCGACAGGTGTTTGGTAGTAGCTGCCGCCGCCGTAGGTGTGCGAGGCTTGAGCTTCGACTTTGCAGCGGGTTACGCCGTCGTCTTGGCGGAGCTGGGGGAAGGTTAGTAGGATGAGTTTGCAAGGGTGTCGCCTTGTGTTGAGAAGTGACACTTACGGCGAGGTTGTTGGTGGGAGCAGCCATTGTGGTGGTGATGGCGGTTGCGAGTACCATCGCAACGGAGTTTACTGAGAATCTGGGTTCGAGTAAGCGATGTGTACACTGTATGCCTTGCGTGGACGACATACTGCATGATGGCGGTTTTCGTGTGTTGTTTTTTTCGTAGCTGAGATACTTGGTCGTGTGATTGTATTGGAGAGTGATACAATGTTGCTGTGAGATGCTTCATCAATTCGCGGTCGAGCACCTCCTCTTATAGCTGATCATGAAGCCAGCATTGCTCGAAATCGACGATCGATCCGACCTTTTCATCTCATATTATGCCACCTACGTCTTTCTTCCCCGTGAAGCCCACTTTCCCCATAAAATGCTGCATACGTGATCTACACGGACTGAGCTTCTCCGTCGAGAGATCAAGGGGACATGTCACGCCGTCAGCCTCGCGGGCCCAATGAGCATTGCCCGTTGCCAAAGAAGTTGATCAACGAGGCCTGAGGTGGAAGGTACAAAAAGGTCAACTCGTCAGAGGGTACTTGACGTAGTAGGGAGCACGTAGATCTACATCTAGTGACATACTTCGTCCTGCAAGGCCACCTGCTAGAACCTGGGATCGCCAGCCATTCCAATGTACCACTAAGGTACCCGGCAAAGCACGTGGTCGTTCACTCTTCCCAATGATTTGTACACGTTCGCTTTCCTCGCTGCAGCCCAGCGTAGTGCAACTCATGTAGACTGTGGCTTTGTATGAGAAGCAACACAAGCTTTTCAGGCCAAGGTAGGAAGGTAATTACAGCCCGTCAATCTACTGATCTGTTTGGCATACTCCTTATCGGTATTGATTCCGCGGGTATACGGTCATGTAGAAAGGATCGCCCGTTATAGCGGCTAGGGTGCGGACGATGGCTGTATCCGTCGCTACCTAGGTAACATGCAGCTCTAGATTCTTATTCGACAAACTTGGATATGAGAAGCACTGCCTTTTGTAAACGCAGCGTCAGTGTCCGCGGAGTGACTATCGTAGTCTTGACGTTAGTGTAGTTAGCCTGGAATGTGGAGCGACCTCGAGAGTAGCGTAAGTAACCCAAATTCCTGGATACCTAGGTACATCGGTTGACATAATCTGTAACTAGCTTCTTTGGAAGTATACACTGTTGTCTGGTCAACGTTGTGGTGAGATCGAGTATCAAGCAGCCTCCGAGTTCATTTCCCAGGAATGGATGTAGTCCAAGAGTGCAAAGTCCAGTAAGAGACTAAAAGCGTTTCGAGTTGCGGAATATAGAACACCGGGATAAATTCCGCCATACATCCCCTAGACCATAGCAAGGCTGTCTTCGGAATTCAGTCTCCACATATTCGCATAACTATCTCGTTTGAGCCTAGCAGACCTAGTGTAGCGCCAAACGGGTCGAATCGGATACGGGATACGCTGATCTGGTGTACTCAGGTACCTTCCGAATGATCAGGACGGTGATCAGTGACGTATCCCGCTGCTTCGTAGTTGCTTTCATGCCCGAGGCTGTTCAGCAATGGCGATGACGTTCCTTCACTACGCCTTACGCGAAGCAGCCGAGCGCCTCACAACTTCCGACATTCATATGCATTCATCCAATCAGGTCCTCTCGAATCAGAAGTATCGCCAACAAAAGACCTTCACTATGCAGTGGAGAGATTGGAAAGAACAGGAAGAATAACATCAACTCTAGTCCACCAATAACAACCATACACCCCCCAACCACATCCCCTCACGCACACTCCTTAGCAACCTGTCCAAGCACCTTCTCATACTCCGCCACACTCTTCGCCCCCACAAGCGTAAAGTCCCTCTTCCTGCCCTCAAAAATAACATACGGCACACTATCCACCCCATTTCCAGCTTGTTCCCGAATCGCCGCTTTCGTCTCCCTCAACTCCTCATCATTGTCTTCCACCAGCTTCTTCGCTTCCTCTTCACTCAGCCCAGCTGCCGTGCACGCTCTGACCAACGTTTCGGGACTAGATGGATGGGCGCGCTGCTCAAAGTACTGATTATACAGAGATCTTACTGCTTCCAGCGCAACACCATCCTCTTTGTTATTCTGCAACCACTGCAACACACGATGCGCATGTAACGTATTCGCCACCACCCCACCCCCAAAATCAAACTGAATCCCCTCTTGTTTACCCAAATCACGCATGACGGCCATATACTTGTTCATGCGGTCTTCGCTGCCGTCGTACTTTTCGTTCTTGTACCATTCATATTTGTTGACGCCTTCTTGGGTGGCGTCGGGGTAGAGTTGGTAGGGTGCTAGTTTGAGGGTGAATGTTGCTGGGGAAGAGGGGTTGGTGGTGCGGTAGTTGGAGAGGGCTTTGGAGAGGCGGATGAAGCCTAGGTATGTCCTGTGGTAGAGTGAGGGATTGGTTAAAGTGGTGCTGTGGCGCGAAGGGTGGGTGCATGTACCAGGGACATATTGTGTCGAGCGTGAAGGTGATTGTTGACTCGTAGGGCATGATGAATATAGTATACGAAAGGACTTGGACTTGGTCGCTGTTCGATTCGTAGATGTCCGTGGCCTGGAAGGATTACTTCACGATACCCTGAAGATGTTCGCGAGGTTGCAGGGGTTCAACTGCTCCATGTCTCCGGCACACGTCATGCGGGGTGCGGCGGAAAGATCACCGCCTACTGCACGCTAATCTTCTCCAGCATCGTATACTAGCAACCCCAAATACGAACAGGAGCTTTGCGACATGGAAATACTCAAATCGAAATGGACGGTACCCAGAATAGGATTGAAGATTAGTCTGAACAATGCAAATACATGTGCTGATCGCTTAAATCTAGCACGGAAGTCTAACGTAAACCCCGAACGATGCTGTAAACGCAACACTGGCAACACAATGCTTCAACATGTGTGGCCTCGTAACCGCAAGGTGGGAGATGGGGGACTGAATCCCTAATTCAGTTTGACATAGTTGCCTAGAATCTGGTTAGAGAATTCCAATCTTCATGCGAATGAAAGTACGTACCTGGGAATTGTCCCTGCTTCCCCCGTACCTTTCCAATCCACCACTCATTGTCGTTCTGCGTCCTTGAAACGATTTCTATCACGTCGCCCGTCAGGAAGCTCAGGTCACCTTCCGCTTGCGCCTCGTAGTCGTACAGAGCTGTAACGGTTTCGGTCGCCGGGACACCGCTGAGACGTGATGGCTTCGGCTTTGGTGGTGGAGGCGCGCCCTTGGCCTTGGCAGCAGAGCCCCACGAACCTGCTGATAGCGTCGGGGATTTGACATCTCCAGTAGCTGCAGAAGGTCCGGCAGAGTACGGCGGGGGAGGTGTTTCCGTCTCTTCCGATATTGAACTTCGGCCTGCCTTGGCTTCCAGAGCTTTCGTTGCGTATTTTGACTGGCCTGGACGTGCGCCAGCGACACGAGCCCCTCCTGTAGTCTTGAACTTCACGATGGAGATCTTCTCCGCTTCTTCCTGTGTGTCGCCACGCTTCTTCTGGTACGCGGCCTCGATGTCTAGAGTAAGGTCGAAGTAGCCGATGTCGAGCCGTTGCATGCGCTCGTGTAGTGTGTAGAAGACGTTCAGTTGCATGTAGTAGAAAGACTGGAATAGAGGTTTAATGAACTCTCTCTCCAGTGTGAACAGCTTCGGTAGCTCGTCCTTGAGCAGATCATTGAAGTAGTTGTAGTCCTGCGTAGCCTGTTCCACATCGTTCTCGGCCTTGTACATGGCCTTCTCGTCCTTTAGCGTCTTGTCCTTCTTCTCTTCGAGCTTCTTGTACGCGGCGCGATGTCTGTCATAGTCGAGTTGCTTGTGGTCGCGCTTGGCGGCGATCTTTCGTACGGCCTTGATGATGACTAGCAGCTCGTCCGCCGGGCGAATAACCCGGGACTCTATCATCTCAAGTTCGGGCTTGAGTGTTTCCTGCAGTTCCCGGACCACTGTCTCGTACTGTTCGCATGCTTCTATGCCTGCTGTGTTGCCTTCGTCGAGGAATGAATCGGGATCTGACATTCGGCCGGAGATGGGCTTGTAGATTTCGGCGATCGCTTTCGAGAACTCCATCTGATGTGAGAGCATGCCTGCGAAGTGGGTTAGGCGGAATCGCGTGGGGCTGCATGTTGTTTACGCACCATTTATGGCTTCGAAGTACCTGTCGCATGTTAGCCAGGGTCGCAACTAGGACTGTGTCGCAACAGGCGCATACTTCTTGGACTCGTCATGGAGCTTCTTGGTCTCCTTCTCCAGCTCCTGAAAGCGGCGTTCGGCATCGGTATAGATGGGGTCCTTGGTGATTTCGCCCTACACGCCCTGTTAGCAAGGCCCAACGTACTCGGAAGCAGGCGCGTAGAGGGGAGAGCCCCTGGAGGCCTTCGCAAAATACGTACGAGGTTGAATCTTTGCTTGAAGGTTTGGGGCGCCTAAACCACCATGTTAGCACGTGTTGATGCCCGAAGGCCATATGAGGGCGCCTGCCGTACCCGGGTGACGGTCTTTGTTAGGCCTTTCCAACTCATGGTGGGGGTAAGTCTGTAAGTCTGCTGGGAATTGATACACAGTAGGGATCAGGAGGCGCCGTGGAGACTGCAGATGTAAGCCAGCAGGAAGCAGCCGAACGATGCGGGCGCCGGCGTGGCTGCTAGAATCGTCGATGACGTCGCCTGTGGCTATGCCAGCCAACTGCCCACGGCTGCCGGATGTCGCGGAGCGCCGAGAGCGAAAACGAGCACGAGTGCAATTACTTCACGCCAAGAGTGAATGATCTGCTGCGGCTAGTGCACGAGAAACCCAGGGCCAAAAGCTGAGAGCAGCGCGCGGTCGCGTGAACGACTATCTTGTCGTGCAGGCAAACAATGAACCATGCATGACGAGTGGACGATGTGGCCGTGAACGCTGGGGGCCATTTAGTCAGCCGATCCGTGCGCTAAAACTTGATAGCTTCTAATACCTCGGGAGGCAATTTGCTCTCTCAACCCCAACACTCCAATTCTCACCATGTCCAACATTGCACCCACCGTCGCGAGGCAGGCCCTGC